CAAGCATTTATTACAAGCATCGATTTAAGTTTGAAGGCATATTCAAGCATGGTAGGATGCTGAAATATCCTAACAATTGTCGAGATGTTTGCAAGTTCAAAGTTCATGCTGTGAAAATAAATGATGAAGCCACATTTCAAAATAAATCTGTGAGGCTCCAGCATGAAAATTATGGTGGTTTTAGAGATAAAAACTCCAAAGTCTCATCTGAATGGTTAGCTACAAGATATCTAAAAAAGTGGGAAGATGATCTTGATTGGAAGATGTCTATGATCATTTCAAATGTGAATAGAGACTATGGAGTCAACATTGGTGGTCTTATATAGAGAAAGATAGCTTGACTTTGTGAAGATTTATGGTGTTGTAAGTATTCAATAACAGGAGAGTATGAGACTATGCAGCTAAAATTGGGAGGAGAAATTCAGGGAGCTCGGCTTTGGTTAGAGTAGATGATATCAATAGGAACTCATCACCAGTTTTTCGAAGACTATATGTATGTTTGGTTGCATGTAAAGAAGGGTTCAAGAAAGGTTATAGGCCACTTATTGGCCTTGATGGTTGCCATTTGAAAAGTGGTTTTACAGGGCAAATCTTGAGTGCTATAGGAAAGGATGGCAATGACAACATCTACCCTATTGCCTATGCAGTTGTTGAAGAGAAGAATAAAGAAACTTGGTGTTGGTTTGTTGGCCAACTAATTGTTGATTTGGGTCTAGTGAAACGACGTGAATGGAATTTCAGACAGAAGGTAATATTTCTAATGCTCTACCTTGTATAATTGGTTACATGTTCTGGATAGAAAACTGGGAAAAGTTAAGGTGGTATCTTGTCACACCCGGGCCCGTTGGCGCGTGCAAACCCTGGAACCCACCAAGAGCAACTCGATATTAGCTAAAGTCTACTGCCAAAATGCTAGCACTAGTTGTTGTTGGGTCTTGGGCTTCTCTATTTAAGCTACTAATATTTCTTCACACTAGTCCATGTGGGATTAAAGTGGAGGTGTCACAATCACCCCACCTTATAAGGACTCATCACGACATGACAATTGGCACATCCCACTATTATCGTCGGGCGATGTGGATTCTAGAGGTGACTCCTACGGACTCTAGAGGTGGCTCCCACCGTATCCACATAGTGTAATACTTAGCCCCGTATAGCACTTAGATCCACACTTTCGGCTTGCAACTATTCTGATACTATTTTGTCACGCCCTGGGCTCATGAACCCATGAAAGCCGTGGGACCCATCGAGAGCAACTCGATATTGGCTAAAGTTTACTGTCAAAATACTAGCACTAGTTGTTCTTGGGACTTGGGCTTCTCTATTTAATCCACCAATATTTCTTCATACTAGTCCATGTGGGACTAAAGTGGGGTTGTCACATATTTGTACATGTTATAAGAAGTTAAGATGTTATCTACATATGTTATGAGAAGTTAATGTGTTATCTATACATATTATAAGAAGATCAGATGTTAATTATAGAAACTGTATGATGTATTTGTAACTTTATGTGTGACATATTTGCATATTCTTCCAACATTATGCTAATACATTCAAACTTTTAATGTTTATGTAGGGCTTAATTCAAGCTTTGAGAATAGTAGTTCCTACTGTTATATATATATATATATATATATATATATGCCAACTTCAAACAAAAATTTACCGAAAAGTCTTCCAAAGATGCTATGTGGAGAGCTTGTAGGGCTTTTACAATGATTAATTTTGATGAGGCGATGAAAATTATCAAGTACATGGATGAGGGTGCTTACAACTATCTTATGGCTGGAGATCCCTTTGCATTGGAGCTTGTATGCATTCAAGAAAAGCACAAAGTCAGATTGCTTGTTGAATAATATGTGTGAGTCATTCAACAAAATGATTCTTCAAGCAAGGGACAAGCCTATGCTCACATTTATGGAGTCCATTAGGAGGATGGTTATAAAGAGGTTCATTCTCAAACAAGAGAGCATTGCTAAGATTGAGGGTCATCTAGTGCCAATGGCATTTTAAAAAAATTAAATTTCTCAAGCATGAGGTTAGACACTGTAAGACTAACTTTGCAGGAAATGGCAGATTTGAAGTGAAATATAAAGAAGAAGATACCTACATAGTGGATTTGGGGATAAAAATATGTGGATGTAACAAATGGCAACTCAGTGGCTTACCTTGCATACATGGAGTTGCAGCTCTGATTAAAATTGGAATGTCTGTTGAAGATTTTTTGCATGAGGTATATACAAAAGAGACCTATATTCTAGCTTATGTCATGAATATCTCACCTCTCCCTGGCATGAAGCAATGGCCCAATATAGGATATCCTGAACCAGACCTTCCTCGAACAAGAATTATGCCAGGTAGGCCAAAGAAAAGAAGAAGAAGAAATATTGGAGAGCAAGTTGCATCCACCCAAAGAGTGGAAAGGAAAACGTTATAAAGTAGATGTAGGAATTATAGACAAAAGGGGCACAGCAAGAAGACTTGTAAAAATCCAACCTAAGCTAAAGCTCCACTTAAGAAAGGGGGAATGCCAAAAAAGTTACCTCAAGGGGTATGTCTCTAATATTTGTGTATTTTCAACTAATTTTTTTTAAAAACTGTAATTTGACAATAATAGGTATCTATCTTTATGATCTTTCGGATATAGGGTACTAGCCAAGAGAGGCCACAACAATCCAACATAGGAGCTCCTCATGAACGTGGTCAAGTGAGTAAATATTGACATGTATCTAATAGGCTTCATTCTCACATGACATCTCACATGTATTTAATTTTTGTGTGTACTCTCCAATTTTTTTTTCAAAACTTGAATTTGACAACAATAAATATCTATTTTCATTGTATATGGTACTAGCCATGAGAGGCCACAACAATCCAACATAGGAGCTCCTATGAAAGTGGTCAGGTGAATAAATATTGTCATGTACCTAATAAGCCTCTATCTTGATGATACCTTATATTTTTCTTCTTATCTAAATTACAGATTCCCTCTATGACAACCACCAATCTCTCACAAGCATTTATCCCCACATAAGACTACACACCAAGTTACTCACCAACCCCAGCAGAAACAACAACAAATGAGGACATGAGTGTAGTCAGAAATAGGGGTAATGTTTGCATTTCTGTGGCACAAATGAGGTAGGCAGGACAACAAATACAACAAGGAAAAAAATGAAGCAAAGCCTGCATGGAAGCCTTGATTCCTTTCTATTTTTTGGAAAATTTTGGTTATCTCAATGATTTTGGAAACTTATGGTGGTATGTGTAAATGTTTAACTAATATTTTGTAAACTATAGGTAGTATCTATGATACAGCTAAACTTATAAGGTGGTATATATACTCATTCTTAATATTTAAGTTGGTAGCTATATAAACAGTTAACAGTTTAGGTAGTTTATATAGATACTGCAGTTTGATTATGACATTCTACACAATAATGCATATATTTCTATCATTATGACAGGGTTGTAATTTGAGTTCTATTTTTTGTAAGTAATATTTCATCTGTGTTTATGATTAGTACATATTTCAAATTTTTGGTGGTCATTGTGAATTTCTTAACATAGCAAGTAACATTTAAGGTGGTATGTATATAAAAAGTTAACTACTTTGGTGGTTTGTATAGATACTGCAATTTGATTATGACTTTCTACACAATGATACATATATTTCTATCATTATCGCAGGTTTATGATTTGAGTTCTATTTTCTATAAGTAATATCTCATGTGTGTGTATGTTTGGTACATATGTACTACTATTAAGGTGGTAATTGTGAATTTCTTAACATAGCTCGTGGTTCATATCAAAATATTATCAAGGTAAGGTGGTATACATATCAAGTTGTGTTTTCTAAGGTGGTAAACATAACAAATATAAAAGTAAAGATGGTAACGATCAAAATACAAATCTATGATCATCTGTGCTGTGTGTGTGTGTGTGTGTATATATGTATGTATGTATGTATGTATATATATATATATATATA